ATACCCCTACCTTCTTTAGTGACAGAAAGCCAGGTCCAAGTGGTATGGATTATATGCTCAAGGATACAATCAAAGGAAAGTACAATCCCTTCAAAGATGCGTCGATTACACTTTTTCCATATCTCCCAACACACTGCCACTTTAATTATTTCCCACAAGATAGACCCCAACTTCCGTAAGGCCAGAAAGTCCAGTTGTGATATAATACCCAGCATATCCCGAGGTAAAGCCACCCTGAATCCTAACATATTTAGAAAGAATTCCCAAATTTTCGAAGCAAAGCGACAATGTACCAAAAGATGTGAAACATATTCACCATCTTCTTTGCACATCAAGCAAACATTGGGCAAGACCTACCTCTCTTGATAAGATTGTCTATGGTCCACCTTACTCATGATTAGCGGAACAGACCAAAAGTCTTCACCGAAGGATGGAGGATTAAATATTCCATTGATGTTTTTGCTCTATGTTAGAAGGAAACTTGTTTCATGTGGTAGGGACCACATTTCTACATTTGTGGTCCCAAAGGTATAAAGCATCCATCTTAAAGATGGATGCAAATACGTAGTCCATTTAAAAATAATTGAAATTAACGATCCAAATGTTTTTTTAATAAAATTATTATTTTTTATTTTTAAATTTTTTTTTTTTATCATATTTATGATCTCTATGTTAAAGATTATATGTCCTTAAAAATTAAACCTCAAAAATAGATTTTTAAGAGGTGACTTATTTCTATATGGACTCGTAGAAACCATGCCCTTTTTAGGATTCATGTTGCCATCCCATTGGCATTATTTTTTAATAGGTGATAATAAGATGTATTTTCTTTTTATCTAATCAATGATGGGACCTTCCTTAAGTTCCATTGCATGAAAGGCATCCAATTTTATTATGAAAAGGTGCTTTTGAAAATGCAGGCATGTATAAAAAGCCCAAGATTTCGTACTCCCTCATGTATAACTCAATTTAAGAGTATTTTAGGGGGAAATGTTTCTATACTTCCCCTATAGCATAGAAGATCTATGCTTCCCCTACCATCCAGCCATCCAATTTTGATCAAGAGAGCCACTCAACATTTGATCTTGATCTTAGATTCAATGTCTCAAAGTATTTTATTTTTAGTTTTTTTTATACAATTTGTATGAATATGAAATTTGGTAAGTGTCATCTTCTCATTAGGGTGCACCTATTAAAAATATTTAAAATAATTTTTCGATAAAATATAATGACCAAAATACCCCTTGAATATTTCATAGGTATTTTGGCCATTTTATTTTATTGGAAATATTGTTTTTATATTTTTTGCTAGTGAGAATTTAATAGAGGATTGGACGTCCAAAATTTCGTGTAAAAAT